CCATGAGTGAACACCGGAGGCACTACTTGGCCTAGGACCAGCAGTGGCCGTTCTGTGTGCAGTTGGTATGTGGGGTGAGACATGCAGAATGTGAACGGGGTTGCCAGAAGCAGGGCAGCAAGGCAGGGTGAGTGTGGAGGAGTGTTCAGGCATAAGGAATGATGTGCACAAAGGCAGAGGGGTGAAAAGAGTGAGGGGCATCCCTGTTGGTTATACCTGGAGTAAGAGCTGAAAGGGAGAGCATCAGTAGCTCCCCTGAAATAGCTAGGGGAGCTTTGAGAAAGACAAGACATCGTCTTATGGGATATGACATGTATATAAAGTGACAATAATCAAAACAATGTGGTATTAGTGGCAGAAAAGCCAGTAACTTAGTTATTTGTGTATTCTCTCCTTTCTTCATTATGGCAATTCCTATTAACTGAAAATAAAACCATATTCAAGATGAAGAAGCAAATGACAAACGAAGGACATATTTGCAACATATAAAAAAAGAAAAAGGTTATTGTATAAGGAGTATGTCTCATGATAGAGAAAGAAGAAAATAAAAACAAAATGAAGAGACTAACAAGTTCAGAAACAATGAGAGTATTTAGAATATAAATATGCATATGATAGAATTGCCATTTCATACCATGTAGAAAAGATAGATTATTCAATATTCAGTAAGTGGTGTTGGGGCAAATGACCTGGCATTAGAAAAGCAGATTTAAGTTAGATCTTGAATTCATATGTAACATCGAAAGTAAATGGTATTGGGGCAATTGGAAAATCGAATCAAATGCTTTTTTAAAAAAGATTTATTTATTTGAGAGAGAGAGAGAGAGAGAGCATGAACAGGAGGGCTAGAGGGAGAGGGAGAGAGAATCCCGAGCAGTGCTGAGTGCGGAGCCATTGCAGGGCTCGATCCCAGTACCCTGAGATCATGACATGAGACAGACCAAGAGTCAGACCCTTAACTGAGCCACCCAGTCACCCCAAATCAAATACGGTTTTTAAAGTGACATTCTTAGGGGCACCTGGGTGACTCAGTCGGTTAAGTGGCTGCCTTCGGCTCAGGTCATGATCCCAGGGTCCTGGGATCAAGCCCCACGTCAGGCTCCGTGCTCTGTGGGGAGCCTGCTTCTCCCTCTCTCTTTGCCTGCCACTCTTCCTGCTTGTGATCTCTTTCTCTCTCTCTATCAAATAAATAAATAAATAAATAAATAAATAAATAAATAAAATCTTTAAAAATAAAAAAATAAAGTGACATTTTTAGGGGTGCAGAGTCTGCTTGGGATTTTCTCTCCCTCTACCCCTCCCACTTGTGCTCTCTCCATCTCTCTCAAATAAATAAATCTTTTTAAAAAAAGTGACATTTTTAATGTACTCCCAACACTGAAATTATTTTCCAATAACTAAAATAATAAATCATAAAAACTTAAATCAAAGTAGAAATAAGCATGTGCAAGGGGCAATTTCCTAAGAAAGAAATGGAAGGCAGCAATGTAAAGAAAAGCGTGAGTAGGGGCGCCTGGGTGGCTTAGTCGTTAAGCGTCTGCTTTCGGCTCAGGTCATGATCTCGGGGTCCTGGGATAGAGCCCTGCATCTTGGGATTGAGCCCTGCATCGGGCTCCCTGCTCGGTGGGGAGCCTGTTTTTCCCTCTTGCACTCTCCCCTGCTTGTGCTCCCTCTCTCACTGTTTCTCTCTCTCTGTCAAATAAATAAATAAAATCTTAAAAAAAAAGAAAAGCATGAGTAGATGTGAATATATTACAATGTGAAAGGTCTGTGTATTATAGAGAAGCTTTATACATTTCATTCATATTTCCACATGCATTTATATAAAGTTTTGCATAGTGCTTTCCTACGATTCTTTTAACTTTTTAAAGAATTTGACTTTCTCATTTCTAATTTTTGGTATTCATGCAGTCTCCCCTTTTCACATTTATGCCAGTCTTATTAACTAAAAGCAAAATAAAACCATATTCAAATGGCAAATGACAAACTAGAGAAATATCCTCAACATATGGAAAGAGGAAAAGTTTATTATACAAAGAATATCTTTAAAAATAAAGAAGAGAGAAAATAAAATTGAGAGAAATGGGTAAAAGAATATGAATAAGTAATTTATTTAAAAAACAAAAATGATAATGTACATCTTAAATTTTTTCAACCTCATCTGTAATGAAAAAAATACAAATTAAAACAACTATATATGTATTTTTTGCCTATCAGTTTGGTAAGGATATATATATATATATGTGTATATATATATATATGTGTGTGTGTGTGTGTTTCATGCCTGAAGAACAATGAGGGATGAGGCATAGTTAATAAAGTGAATGAACACCTATTTTGAGTTGTTTCTTTTGTCTTCTTAAGCTTGGAATTAAGAGTTTAACTTTACCTAAAAGAACTATAAACAACAGAATCAACTTCATGTGTCCAAAATGTGGTTAAGAAAAAAAAGAAAGAAAAGAAAAAAGATGAACTTTAACTCTGAGAGATATAAAATTGTAGCAACTTATCCCAGGAGCTAGCTGGAAAACAAATTCTTCACAAGATTCCATCTGGGCCTGGTCTTAGGTCAAGAGGGAGAAGGAGATGAGAGGGCTGGAGGATGCCATATCCCCCAGAGAGGAGCTCTTTCTTCATCAGGAGGAGGCTTACCACAGAAGATTGAAGGTCATGACTGAACAGATAGGAAACGCTTCAGGGAAGCTCGAGGTCAGTGGGGGGTGGGGTGGGGGGAGGTCACTCTGTATCTTCCTCATTCTACCGCAGCTGGGAGCAAGGAACTCCAGGCAGGATTTAAGAAGGCTGTACTTTGATGAAGGCTGAGTGCCCCTTTTGAAATCATCCCTTTCATCGTCATATTATACTTGGCTTTTTCCAAGGGCACTACAAGAACACACAAGCTGGGCTGTAGGCAAATCTGAGAGGTCCTGATGGGAAGGAGCAGCTTGAATTGATGGGGGAAGATTATGGACGGGGAAAGAGCCACATGACGGATCTCGCCAGACAGCGCATCGGGAGCCATGGGGTCGACATACTGCATTCACCTTGCTGAGCAGGGGTTTGGACTGATTTCATGAGCTGATAGGAAATCAATCAGGAGAAAACAAGGACAAACCCTGCCCACTGAAATCGATGCGTCAGTAGCCTGTGATGGACGTCAGGAGTTGCTTCCCCCCAAATGCTCACCCCTGTGACTAACCACCCTCCTCCTCCACGTGCCCCTTCCAACGATGCTATGACTTACCTTTGACTGTTTGTCTAAATAACCTTCATCTTTCCTCCAGGATTCCTCCCAAATTAAGCTTGGTGGAGAGGAGGCAGTACGTGGAAATAATGTAGACATCAATTTGTCAAATCAGCAGAGAGGACTGACAATCTACAGTCTCAGCAAAGCTGCTGGGCTGGCTATGGGATCCCTCTCCTGCCCAGCTCGACCTCTGATGGAGAGCAAGTCATTTTGCTCCTTTTAGCTCTAAGCCTACTTTTGTGAAAAATTCAGGGGCTGGCCTATGCAATGGATAACATTTTTCCAGCTGTGGTATTTTATGAGACTAAAGATGAACACAGAGCAAGAACACAGGAGTCCCATAACGTCAGAAAAATACTTGAAATGTATTTAATACACTTAACACATAATTTAAAAAATGTGCATGAAAACAATGAGATACTTTTTTGAAATCTCTATGTTTGGCAAAGATTTCATAAAGAAATGATTTCATAAAGAAACCTTCCATTGGGTCAGGGGAAGAAAACTCAGAGCTCTTTTTCTGCTGTTGGCAGGAATACACCTTTTCTGTAGGGCAGTTTAGGAATATGCATCAAAATTTTAAAATGAGCATCATCTTTGATCTAGCAATTCCAGTAGAATGAGTTCTGAAGGAATAATCAGAGACTCATGAATAAATTTAAGCACAAGGACTTTTATCACAGCATTATTTATACTATCTGAAACCAAATGCTGATGTTCCTTCATCCGGGACAAATTATGGGACACACCATGGCCGGCTTGAGGACACTCCGAAGGGGCAGGATCAGCCTGGCCATGCAAACACTCAACACGCCAGTTATCTCCCTCAACCACCCACCCATCCACCCAGGCGGAGCCATGTTGTCAGAGGAGATCCTACCTCATGACAAGCGAGACCCTGCCTTTCCGGGCAGTTGTGGTCTTCCTGCTGAAAGACCATCTGTGGCCACCACTGGCTGTGGGACAAAGGGAGCATCCTATGGCTTGGTTGTTAAGGCCCTTTATAATCAAGGCTCACCCCACCAGAAGGAGCTTATTGCCAACTTCCTCCCTCCCCCACTGGCATGGCCTGCCTGTCCTTTCCCTGTTGCCACACTTACTCAGACCCCCAGTCACCCAGAAACCTGCTTCCTTCCCACCTTTCCCTTCTCCTACCTGAATTCTTCCCTCCTTCAATGGTTGCTTCCCAGAAGTGTTCCCTGCCATTACTTGACCTCACTGCATGCACTTTCTAGCATATTTTTTTGTGTGTATTGCCTTTTTTGCTCAGTTTTGCTTCAAGTTGGCTATCATTTCAATTAAAATATAAGATCTCTAAAACTGGTACTATGTCTTATATTTGAAAGACTACATGCAAAAGGAGAAAGAACAGGCTATGAACTCAGAAAAACCTGTGTTTAAATCCTGTGTGATGTTGGGCAGGTTACTTAACCTCTCTGAATCTGAGTTTTACCATACATAAAATGTGGACAACGGTAGTTATTTTACAGAGTTGTAACGTGGTTACTGGGATCATTGTTAGCCACTTAGCACAATGCCTGCTCTGTAACACATGCTCAGAAAATATTAGTTCCTTCCTCCTTACTCTACTTTGGAGAAGTTGGGCTTAATACATAGTAGCTTCAGATGAAATCTTACGGTCTGGCCACTTGCCTTAAGGGCACTAGGAACAATGAGGGGCTTGTAGGGGAGGAGAGCAGGAGTTGGTGAACCAGGAAAGCCTCTGTGTGAGTCTGGCCTGTTGGCCTCTTACCTGATGATTGTCAGGGGGATGAAGTACACCAGGAAGGCCACGATGGTCATGTACGGGGTCCAGTAGGAGTCATCAGGCCATAGCGCCCAGCACTGCACTTCACTGTTAGAGAGTTTCCTTTTCCCAAATATGATCAGGGTGGGAATGGAGAAAAGGGAAAGAGGCTCCAGGCAATCACGATGAGGACCTTGGCTTGCTTTTCTGCTCAAAGGAAAGAGAAATTGGATGATTTGTCCACGTAGACATCAAAGTCACCCAAGATGGGGACAGTGTGAAGGGTGAGAGAGAGACTGAGAACAGTGTCCACCTTTTCAGTGGGTGAGGGGCATGGCCATGTGGTCGGACAGAGAGGGAACACTGTAGAAGGTAATCTAGTTTGATAGCATGAGCGTCAAAGGAACAGATCAGCGCACAGGCAACAATGGAAGAGAAATGGGTTGGAAGTGGTCCAGGGAAGTAGGAAAATGTCTATACCACCCCCAGGCCTTGAAGTTCTCAGAAGGAAGGCTGAGAAGCATCCTCTTCCGAGATGTTAGGAGAACCAGGGATCTCAGGAGGCAGGAGGTGGAGGGAACCTACCGTCGTGTGGTTGAGAATATAAGGGAGTTTTTTCCTGAAGGAATAGAGGAAAGTTTTGGGTGGAAAAGAAGCAGTGGGAGTTTGGGAGAGGAAACAAACACAGAGCAGTCTGGCATTTAGAGAGCAACTGAGGATGTTTCCTCTCGACCACAGCGATGAGATGTGTGCTGGGTTTCTACAGATCCTGCTCATGCATGGTCTCCTTCTTTCACTGGTTAAAATTCAAATTTTGTCTCCCTCTGTAGGTCCTAGAGCCTGGACTTTTAAGGGTGATCTGCAACTGCGGGGCCCCACTCAGATTCCACTGGATGGGTTAACAAACACTTTTGAAAGAGATGGGCATGGAAAGAATCAGATTAAAACAATATGAAACTGTGCAAGGGTTGCTGGAGTGGAGGGGTGTGGGAAGGATGGGGTGACTGGGTGATGGACTTTGGGGAGGGCATGTGCTGTGGTGAGCACTCTGAATTGTGTAAGACTGATGAATCACAGACTTGTACCCCTGAAACAAACAATACATTATATATACATTTTATTGTTAATAAAAAAATATTAAAGAAAAAGAATTAATCCTACCAAGGTACTAAAAATGTTTCCCCAAAGTACACCCAGGGCAGATGCTTGGAATTACTTTTCTCATACTGGTGCTAGGCTGCACTGGGAGAAATCCCCAGTCTCAGGTGCCTCCGCAACCGGGTGTGTGGCCCGCAAACACAGAGGTGACAAGACTGTTGGCCCTTTGGCCAGTTGAGCCTGCCTGCCATGGGTGACTGCTCAGGGCTCAACACTCAGGGACAGAACAGATGAAATGCAGTTTCAGTATTAGGTGGGTGGTCTCCTGTTAGCTCCAAACTGGCCCATGTCCCCCACCCGTAGAAAGGAAGACTTCCTCTTCCATTTGCTCTTGTCCAATTCTGTACTTCTGTCTTAGCCCTCTTTCATGCATCACATATACCTTTTTTGTTTTTGATAATGAAAGTTACATATGATAATTACAGAAATATGAACAAAAAGAAGGAAAAAGAGTCCATGATGCCACCACCCAGAAATAGCCAGCCCAAATTTTGATAATGCGTCTGTGTGTAATACATAGATTACACATATAAAAATGAGAACATAATAGGGGCACCTGGGTGACTCAGTCGTTAGGCGTCTGCCTTCGGCTCGGGTCGTGATCCCGGGGTCCTGGGATCGAGCCCCCGCAGCGGGCTCCCTGCTCAGCGGGAGGCCTGCTTCTCCCTCTCCCCCTCCCCCTCCCCCTGCTTGTGTTCCCTCTCTTGCTGTGTCCCTCTCTGTCAAATAAATAAATAAAATCAAAAAAAAATGAGAACATAATATACATGCTGGTTTTCAACCTTATTTTTTCCCTGGAAAAAATTTTTATGACTTTTTATGTCAAGAAAGTCTTTGTCAAAAAATTTTATGACACCTTTTCATGTCTGCATCTATGCAAGCGGCATTCAGACATTTTCAGGCAGTAAAAGCCTTTCATCAAATATAATTGTAGTTTGAGCCCAGTGCAGAATGCCAGAGTAGCTCAGGTTGAGGCTGGGTGACAGCCAGAAGCTTCCAGACCTGTCCTGGAGCAGGTCTACAGAATGAGTCCTCCAGGGCCAGTGTGTGAAGTGTAACTTAAAAAGCACTGATAGAAAATATTTTTCTATGGTTACACTAAATTCCAATTTTATCGATAGCCTATTATTATTTAAATTGTTTCCAATTATTACAAATAATTTATGTGTATCTCTTTACAGTGCTGTTGCCTTAGGATAAACTCTGAGAAACAGATTTTGGCAAATATTATTAAATTTCTTCCAAAAGTGTCTACAGCTTATGGCTCCCACCGGAAGTATACAGACAAGCCCATTTCTTTATACTCTCCCAACATTGAGAGGATCCTTCCTCTTCCTCTTGTTATCTCATTGATAAGATTTCATATCCAAATGTCTAATCTTGCAGTTCTCCAATTAGTGGTCAAAAAGAACATTTCTATATACCATCCATTCATTTTTCTTTGTTTCTTAATAACTTGCTCCTGTTCTTTGCCCGTTTTTCAATTGGTACATTCTTATTTCTTTGCCAGAGTTCTTTAGAAGAAGGATATTATCCCTTTGCCTGTTGTATACAAATATTTTCTATTTGTCACTTTGCTTAAGCATGTGTACAATGTTTATTATTTGTATGAAGAGTTTTAAAGTTTTGATGTAGTTTAAACTATATTTATTTCCCTTATTGTTTCTGCTTTTGGTGTTATTCTCAGAAAGATCTTTCCCTCACAAAAATAAAAACTTTTACCCATACCCACACCTTTTCAAGTTTAAAGTTTTTACTTTTTCAATCCAGCTGGCATTTACTTGTGGCAGTATGGCAGATTTAATATTCTGTAAAGGGCTAGACAGCTATACTAACGCCCTATACTGACTAATTCCTTCTTTCCTAACTGATTCGATATTCCATATGCTTTACGTACATTATTCTGGTTTCAGTATCATATTGCTTAAATTATCAAAGTTTTATATTATGCTTTAGTACCTGGAACTACATATTTCTCTTCATTATGAATAGATGTTTTCCTAATTATTCTCATATTTATTTATCTTAAAGAGTCTTAAAAATGTCAGCTTCTCTGGAGTTGCTGGCTGAGGAAACTACCACTTTAGTAAAAAGCAGTAAACAAGCAGTAAGATGTGCCCCGCCCCTTCCGTTGGTTTAGTCTCCATCACCCTGTGTCTGCTTGGCCACGAGTAACTTCGTGTGGCTTCTGTCAGCCCAGTTCTCCATAGAGAAGCTGTGCTGCCTGGTGGGGAATCTCTTTCTGCTGCCTCCTCTTTGTTCAGTTGCATGAACCCTAAGCCCTGCCCCTCATGGCTGCCTTTAAATTCCGATGAGCTGTAGCACTGAGTGACTCTAGTATAGGGTTCCCTGTTCTTACCCACCACCTCACGCCAAAACTCCTACACGGCCATGCCACCTTCCCAGGGGGTGTGGCTTCCGTGTGTCATCAGCTCCCTGTGCGCTGGGAATTCCGTGAAGTTCTGGTACTTGGACAGCTTCTTTCCTTGGCTCCCACCCAGCTGCACATCTCCTTTATTTCCAGGTTTCCTCCATGACTTCAGTGGGATTGGGCAGAGAGGAAGGGAAAATGGCTAATGTCTACTTCCAAGTTTTCATCTTTCCCCAAAGCTATTGGAGATGATTATTTTGCAAGTGCCCTCCAACGAACCTCTATTAATTTTGTAATGAGGAAATAAATTGCTTTACATCTTTAAAAGAACACTATAATATTCATTGCTGCCTTTTCTGTAATTTAGGACCCTGTTCATAATATTTCAGTGTCTCCTAGAACTAGCCATATTTGCCATGAGCTAAAGAGTTGATATATATATATATATATATTTTACCTAATGAATATGGTGAGATGGTTAACTGACCATGTTTCCCTTTTGGCTATGGATTCCCTAAGCCTCCACCTCTGGCAAATGTCTCGGGACACCCCTCATATTTCCTTATACCTAATTTCCCTTCACTCATATTTCTGCACCTTGAAACACTCTGGTGTATGCGTTTTTTTGTATGTCCCCACTCAATCCTTCCTGGGGCCTGCTGGGCATAAATAAATAGATGAATGAATAAGTAGATCACACTCTTGTATAGATCATAAAATGTCTCTCCCATTTCCCTTCACCCCACTCCTTGCTTCCTTCTTTATCATAATCACTGGGGCAATGGAAATGCCCAGAAAGCTTGGTGCTGGTCACATACTTCACACACACACACATACACACACACACACACACACTAAAACAAACAAACAAAAACAACCCTAAGAAAAGCCTACAAAACAGGTGTAAATTCTATTTTTAAACTAGTTTTAATTGTGCACAACACATCAGTATAACTTCTAGTATGTAAGTCCCTGTGATCACTATGGCTAGTCCAAATTCCATCCCCAGAAGTGAGGACTAGCTGGTGCATGTCTTTGCAAGCAATTGTTTATTACGTTTTCTTTTTTTTACTGTCCATGGCTATCCCACCTCCCCACTGAGAGGCAGGATATGCAGTAGTCATAGATACCTGAACTACACCCAGACCGTCTTGGGTTCAAATCTTGCCCTACACCTACTAGCTGAGTGATCTTGGGCAAGTTACTTTAACTCTCTGAACTGTAATTGTCCAAACTATAAGATTCAGATAAAAATAGGACCTATCTCACAGAGAGGTTGTAAGAATTAAAATGCTTAGCATGCTTAAAGAACTTATAATCATGAGTGGCATCTAGTATGCAATCAATAAATCTAAGCTACTGAAACGTCTATATTCCTCCACTGAGGGAATTCCTATCCTAAGCAATGCTACAATAAACAACACATGTGCATACATGCATACATGTGGGTGTTTGTCCAGAGAAGATACCAATAAGTAGGATTTCAAGGTCAAAGGACTGCACATTTTATATTTTAATTAGATGTGGTTAACTTACCACTCAAAGGATCTGTGCCAATATTCTCTGATATATTCAGTAGTATCTGATGACATTAATTCTACTTATTCTAAAGTTCTGCTTGTTAATTTTGCTTTCTTAGTTGTAAATGCCGCAGAATGGTATTCTGAAGGGTTATCTATTTTCCAGTTTGGCTTTTGTCCCATTTTCCATGATATTTGATTGCACCCCATCTTTGTAGTCAAGATTTCGTATTAGTTCCTCATCTTACAAGTTTTCACAGGCTCCTTGGGAGACTGTGGTACAGATCACCAAACATTGGGTTATTACTTGCTTTCAAGGGTCATGGAGGAAAGTGGGCTCTGTCCATGGGCAGAGTAATGGACAATTAGTCTTGTGACTAGGTACCCACCATCCCTCCAAGGAGTCTTTGCTTCCTAGGACCCCACCCTGTCTCTCCAAATCCAGCACTCCCACTACGAGGAGGAAGAGACCTCTATCCTTGCTGTCCCTCTGGGAAGGGGGGGGGCAGAGGGAAAGTAAACATGCAGTGATGAACACTCCTCTTTGTGCTCCAGAAATCACCCTGCTGATTTCCTTGAGTCCTTCTTGCTCTGGGCCTTTACATGATCTATTTAGGAACCACTCTTAACACTTCACCCATATTACTGTAGTGTTGTCTGTGGGTATTGTAAGCTGTGTGGTTTCAGCCTTTCCTCTGACCCATCTGCTTTCTTCTTCCAGAGATTCCTCACTATCACTGGATCGAGGAGAATTTTACTACTTTCCAGTATTAGTGTCAGTTAAAAACATCTTTCCAATTATCTCTAAGGTTTCGAAGTAAAAAAGGCAAGGTGCTTGTTTCTGGAAAATGAGCAAGTTGAAGTGGGAGGATTCATTTCTTGAGAGAGGTATATGTGTCAACAGTGTTCTAAAGGAAAAAACCAGAGGCATTAGGGTCAAAGTAAATGGCCACAGAGTGGGTCCGGCAAACTGCCTTCCCTAGGAGCTCTTGACCATCCATGGGTACCATCCACATTTTCCTAGGCATCCTGCTTCTCTTTCTACATCTTTTTGGACAATCAGACCCATGAAGTAGGAAGAAAGTAAAGAAGAAGAGAGTGGGAGGAAGAAAACCATTATTAAGAGGATAATATTAGTGAAAACAGTCCTACCCTCACCCAAGGATGATTTCTTACAAGATAGCCCTTGGTGGAGCCAACTCACCTCCTTGCAGGAACTTCATAGGGTAGACAATGGCATGGTATCTGTCTATGCCGAGGGACACCAGCACATGGGTAGAAACATAGAGCAGCACAATCTGAAGACAGAAACAAGAGGAGGTGCATGACTTCATAGAAATGAGGGAATGCATATCATAGAAAGAAGTGTTTTGTGCTATTTAGAAACCTGTGCACTGAATCTAGGGAGGGATGAAGTTCGGGCTAGGGAGAGAAATGACTGACTCCTTATGTCTAGAAGCAGATTGCTGTTCATGGAACTGGACTTGTCATTGCTAGTGGTGACCAGTGAGAATGCTTCTAAGCTCACCCTTCTTCACTCATTCACTTGGCTTCTTGGATACCACATCTCAGGGTCAGTCTCTCTTCACATCTGCATGGTACATTTGTATGTAATTGACATTTAAAGCTAAGCTAATTTTCCCTGCCACAACTGACATTCCAGAATAATTAGAAAGAAACGTTCATTTGCCATTTATCAGTGTGAGTTGAGAGACAATGGAAGGCATCTGGTTTCCAGGAGCCCATGTGTGGTTTAGAATCATTTATCATCATCTGCGTTGACAGTCCCAGAGCTCACTTCCCCCTCCACTTCTCTAGCAGAGCTGTTCATTAGGGTCATTCCTTGGGTCCCCTCTTCCTCCTTCCCACCACATCTCTTATTAACCTTGCCCAGGCCCTTTAATTATCCTAAGTATAGTGTTATTTGTAGAGTTTGCAGAGAAGGAAATTGGAATATAAGAGGTTAACATCTCTTACGTGAAGAGCATAATCAAAATGTAATTAAGTGAAATATCTCTGAAAGGATGAATAAGGTGGACAATTTTGGGGTAATGTTGAGCCTCATTTCTACCAAGAGTCCAGACATATCTCTGTTTTGTAACCTTTGGGCCATTTCCAGAGCCGGGAAGAGTAAATCAAACACCAAAGTCTAAGGGTGAGTGTCTGAATCTCTTCTAAAATGAAAGAGAAATACCATGACTTTGGTAATAACTTTTGTCTGAATTTATACCTTATTGTTTTCCCTCACTCAGACAAATAATAGTCAACTATATTGTTGTTCTTTATTATTTTTATTTCCAGAACACTACACAAATGCATCCCAGCACTAACATTGTAGAAGGTGCCATAGGGAAGTGGTTTTCTGAGGGCTGATTAGAGACTGAAGGTTCTCCTGAGGGATATAAGAAGAGATTCTCCTCTTGCTGAAAAGGTGATATATGGATGGCAAGAAGAATGATGTCCAAGTTTAACTAAAAAAAATTAGACAACTGTCTTCTTAGAGAAAACTGGGATTTCTATGTGTGATCCAAGAATTCAGAATTACTACAGCTGACCACACACAGCTCAGGAGGTGGCATTCAAGGAGGATGGGAAAGAAATCTCCCAAGGGCAGAACTCTGTGGAATGGAATGTCATGGTAAGAAGATCACAAGAATCTCAGCCATCTTTTGCTGTGTTGAGTGAGGTGGCCGACACAAGTTCAGAATTTGGAGCAAGAGGAAAGTACAAAAAAGAGTGCCTGGAAGAGCAAGCAACATAAACAGAAAGAGATGTATTTTGAGACACAGTCAAAAACAGTAGTTCATTTCAAGGGTCTTCAAACATCTAGGCAGGGTAAAAAAAATTTAAAGGTTACATAAAAGAAATGCATTTCAAATTGTCATGCCTCTTTTTTACAAAAATAAAATGCCAGAAAACAGCATAAAAACATGTTCAGAGTTTTGAAAGAAAAATTATGATCCAAGAATTTTGTAAATATCATTTCTGTGCCAAGGCACAGAATGATTTTTCTTAGATGTATAAGAAAGAAGAAAGCATAACATCACATAATCTCCTGAAAATCTTCCGTGAGGAAATATTTCTGCTGATTGTGCATTGTTTCAAAATTAAGAACTCTAGAAGAGGGACAGGATTGAATAATAACAGCTATGATAAGCAGTGAGTCCAAAAAAACCCCACAACATGTTTACAAAATAACTATGAATATAGTTAGGAAACATTCCTGGGAAAAATCTGGGGAGTTGAGTGAGAGGAGACAGTATAAGGAAAGAAATCATGTCATATATTTCCATTTGGACATTTTAGGCATTTCTTTTGTTTTTTACTTTGATAGAGACATACTAAATTCAAAAATTAAAGAAAAGCTATGATAGTGAAATAAAAATGGAGAAAAAATAATTTATTAGCTTCTTATGGTAATTGTAACAAACTTTGTGGTTTAAACCAACATAAATTTATTCTCTTACATTTCTAGAGACCAGAAGTCCAAAATCAGTTATACTAGGTCAAAGTCAAGGTGTCGTCAAGGCCACCCTCCCTCGCAGGCTCTAGGGGGGATTCCTTCCCTTTCCTCTTTCAGCTTCAGGTGACTGCCAGCATTTTTTGATTTGTGGTCACACCCATCCCATCTCTATGGTTACAATGCCTCTTCTGTCTGTCAAATCTCCCTCTGCCTCCCTTTTATAAAGGATACATATGATTACATTTAGACTTATTAAGATAATATCTAATAATCTCCCCATTTCAAGATCTTTAACTTAATTACATCTGTTAAGTCCCTTTTTGCCATATAAGGTAATATACATAAATTTCAGGGATTAGGATTTGGATTTGGGGGGCATTTTTCAGCCTACCACAACTAATAACCAAATAGAAAGGAAAAAACACGTAAATAGGGAAAAAATTAACCGAAAAGATTAAAATGAGGTGACTTAAATAACACCAAACACTATTTGTCTCAATAAATATAAATGGCTTAAGCTCCTTGACTAAAACAAAGACTATGTACAAAACCCTTCCCCAAGTCTAACTGCATACTGTGTTGAAAACAAACCTCTAAAACCAAATGATTATCAAAGTTTAAAAATAGAGTGATGGCCAAGGACACACCGAACAACTAAAACCAAAAGAAGGCATCTATTATAATATTACTACTAGATAAATTAAATTCAAAGCAAATTGCACTACATGAGACAAAGGGATTCTTTTTATTGATGAAAAATACAATACAGGGGCGCCTGGGTGGCTCGGTAGTTAAGCGTCTGCCTTAGGCTCAGGTCATGGTCCCAGGGTCCTGGGATGGAGCCCTGCATTGGGCTCCCTGCCCAGCGGGAAGCCTGCTTCTCCCTCTCCCACTCCCCCTGTTTGTGTTCCCTCTCTCACTGTGTTTCTCTCTGTCAAATAAATAAATAAAACCTTAAAAAAATATATGCAATACAAAATGGTGATGGAATATTAATAAACTTATATGTGACAAGCAACATAATATTAAATATGTATAACTAAATTGTTCAAAGATTTACAAAGGATAAAACACAATAATACATAGATAGAAAAAATTAAACACACTTTAAAATAATACACATTACTGTAAAATATCTAGGCAACATTTCAAAACTGGTCCTAAACTAAACTACCAAGAAAGAAAAAATCCCTCAATAGATTCCAAAAATTATACAACTTATATAATTTGCATATTTAAAACAACAAGCAATAAAAGCTGAAATTAGTATCATGTTATTTTTTTAAAATACCACTTGGAAATTTAAACACCCTTGTAATTAACTTGAGTCAAGAAGGAAATCAAAGTACAATTATAGTCAATTCATAAATGTCAACAATGAAAATTCTACACATCAACAACATATGGGGTACCATTTGGAGAACAGATGGCAGCTTGAGGACATATGTCTGAATTCTCACTACCCCACCCCTCAATTCTGACAAAAATGACCTAGGAAATATAAAACTAAGGAAAATCTTGCAAAGAAGTGAGACTTGAATGCAGCAAACTTAGGAAATTTTTATTTAGAAAAATACCAGATTGGATCCATGTAAAGGAGGATCCCTGTATTGACTTTAAAAATTAATATACTTTATTTTTTAGAACAATTTTAGATTTAGAGAAAAAAATAGAGCAGATAGTATAGAGAGGTCCCACCCCCTACCCCCCACTTTTCACTATTATTAACATCCTTGTTTAGTGTGGTTCCTTTGTTAAAACTGATGAACCAATATCAATACATTATTACTAAAGTTTTACATGAAGCTTTACTCTTTGTTGTATAATTCTATGGGTTTTTGACAAATGCATAATGTCATGTATCCACCATTCATACAGAAAAGTTTCACTATTCTAAAAATCCTCTGCGCTTTACCTATTCAATCCTTCCAAATCCCTAGCAACCACTGATCTTTTTACTGTCTTCATCATTTCCCTTTTCCAGAACATCAAATAGTTGTAATCATACTCACGTAGCCTCTTCAGACTGACTTCTTTAACTTAGCAAAATGCATGTAAGATTCCTCTGTGACTTTTCCTGGCTACACAGCTCATGTTGTTTTATTGCTGAATAATATTCCATGACATGGAAGTACCAAGGTTCTTTTTTTTGTTTTTTGTTTTTGTTTTTGTTTTAATCCATTCAGATTTTGAGGAACATCCTGTTTCTAATTTTTGACAATTCTGAATAAAATTACTATAAACATTCTTGTGCAAGTTTTTGTGTAAATGTAAGTTGTCAGCTCAACTGGTTATATACCTAGGAGTATAATTGCTATATTGTATGATAAGGGTATGTTCAATTTTATAAGAAACTGCCAAAATATCTTCCAAAATGGCTGTACCATTTTGCACTCCTACAAACAGCACTAGCATTTCACATCATCAGTTTTTTGGATTGTAGTCATTCTAATAGGTATGTTAGTGCTGTCTCGTTGTTCTAATTTGCAATTCCCTAATGCCATATAATGGTGAGCTTCTTTTCATATGCTTGTTTATCTTTCTATCTTCTTTGGAAAAGTGTCTGTTCAGATCTTTTGCTCATTTTTAAGTGGGTTGAATTTTAAGAGCTCCTTGTATATTTTGGATAAAAATCTTTTATCAAGTATGTGTTTTGCAAACATTTTTTCCCATTCTGTGCCTTGTCTTTTCTGTCTCTTAACAGTCAGTGTCTTATGCAGAGAAGTTTTAAATTTTCATAAAATCCAACTTTTCATTTTTTTCTTTCATGGATTGTGCTTTTGATGTTATATCTAAAAAGTCATTGAGAAACCCAAAGTCCCTGCTTCTCTCCTATGTTATCTTCTAGTAGTTTTATAGCTTTGCATATTTCATTCAAGTCTATGATCCATACTGAGTTAGTTTTTGTGAAAGGTGTGAGGTCTTTAGTCAGATCATCATTATTATTATTTTATGTGGATACCAATGACTCCAGCAGTATTTCTTGGAGAGGCTATCTTTTCTCCATTGAATTATCTTTGCTCCTTTGTCAAAGATCAGTTGACTTTTAGTGTGCATTTCTTTCTTGGTCTCTATTCAGTTTCACTGATCTATTTGTTGATTCTTTTGCCAATATGCTGTCTTGATTTAGCTGTAGCTTTATAGTTAAGTCTGGAAATCACATGGTACCTCTCTTCCAACTGTGTTCTTCTTTAGTATTGTATTGGCTATTCTGTGTCTTTTGCCTGTCCACATAAACTTTAGAGTTTGTCTATGTCTATAAAGTAACTTGGTGGGATTTTGATTGAGATTGCTTTGAATTTATAAGTTGCTTTGAGCAGAACTGACATTTTAACAATAGTCCATCTTCCTATCTGTGAACATAGAATATCTGTCTATTTATTTAGATATTCTTTGATTTCTTTCAATGACGTTTTCTTCATACTGATCTTGCACATATTTTGCTAGGTTTATACCTAAGTCTTTCATATTTTTCATGCCAACATAAATGGTTATTGCATTTTTAATTTTAAATTCAAATTGTTCATTGCTGGTATATAAAAGCACAATTGTATTCTTCAACCTCATTATTTTTATTTTCACTTAATAAGCCCACAGATTTTCTGTGTTTTGTTTTGTTTTGGTTTTTCTGTCTATTCTTTTTGATTGTCTACATAGATAAGCTTGTCATCTGTGAACAAAGATACTTCCTCTTTCCCAATCTGTATACATTTTATTTCCTTGTTTTGTCCTGCTGAGTTAGTTGGGACTTCCAGTATGATGCTGAATAGGAGTAGTGAGAGGGAATATCCTTGCCTTGTTCCCAATCTTAGGAAAGAAGCATTCAGTCTCTCACCATTAAGTATGAGGTTAGCGATAGCTTTTTGTAGATGTTCTTTACCAAGTTGAGGAAATTTCCCTCTATGAAAAGTCTACTGAGACTTTTTAACATAAATGGATATTGGATTTTATCAAATGCTTTTTCTGTATCTATTGAAATGATCATATAAATTTTCTTCTTTACATTTTTGATTTAATGGACTACTTTGATTTTTGAATGTTGAATCAGCCTTGCATACCTGGAATGAATTCCACTTGGTCATGGTATGTAATTTTTTTATAAGTATTTTGGTTCAATTTACTAATATTTGTTGATAATTTTTGCATCTATGTTCATGAGAGATATTGGTCTATAGTTTTCCTTTCCTGTAATGCCTTTGTCTGGTTTTGGTGTTAGGATAATGTTGGACTCACGGAATGACTTAGGAAATATTCCCTTTGCTTCTCTGTTTTAGAAAAATTAGAAACTTATTAGTAGGGGCACCTGGGTGCCACAGTAGGTTATGCATCTTCCTTTGGCTCAGGTCATGATCCTGAGTTCCTAGGGTCGAGCCCCATATCAGGCTTTCTACTCAGCAGGGAGTCTGCTTCTCTCTCTCTCCCTTTGCCCCTCCCCCCATTCATGCGCTCTCTCATTCTCTCTCTCATAAATAAGTAAAATCTTAAAAAAAAGAAACTTATTAGTATAATTTCTTCCTTAAATATTTGGTAGACTTCACCAGTAAACCCATCTGGGCCTGGTGCTTTCTTTCTTAGATTATGAATTATTAATTCAATCTGTTTAATAGATATAGGTCTATTCAGATCATCTATTTTTCATTGTGTGAGTTTTGTCAGATTGTGTCTTTCAAGGATTTGGTCCATTTCAAGTAAGTTATCAAACTTATAGGAATATAGTTCATAATATCCCTTTATTATTCATTTAATATCCATGGGATCAGTAATAATGACCTCTCTTTCATTTTTGATATTAGTAATTTGTGTCATCCTCTTCTTTTCTTGTTTAGCCTGGCAAGAAGTTTATCAATTTTATTATCTCTTTGAAGAACCAGTTTACAGTTTCATTGATTTTCACTAATGAATTACTGTTTTCATTTTAGTGATTTGTCCTAATTTTTATCATTTAAGACAGTCTGCTTGCTTTAGGTTTACATTGGTCTGCTTTCCCTAGTTTCCTAAGGTGGAAGGTTAGATGATTAATTTTAGATCTTTTTTATTTTCTAATACAAGAATTTAAATGCTATGTTTCTCCAAAAGCACTGTTTTTAATATCCTACAAATTATGATAAATTATTTTTTCATTTTTTTCTTCGACCCACGTGTTACTTAGAAATGTGTTGTTTAATCTCCAAAAACATTGAGATTGGACAGCTAGCCTTCTGTTTTACATTTTTAGTTTAATTCTAGTTTGGTCTGAGAGCATAATTTGTGCTATTTCTACTCTTTTACATTGTTAAGGTGTGTTTTATGGTCCAGTATGTAATTTCTCTTGGTGAATGTTCCCTGTGAATTTGATAAGAATAAGTATTCTGCTTTGTTGGATGAAGTGTTCTATAAATGCCAATTAGGTCAATTTGATTGATAGTTTAGTTTACTTCAACTGATAGCTATTTAGTTCCACCATATCCCCGCTTCTAACACTAAGTACTGGCATAATTTATTTCTCAGCAATTGCTAGAATAAGTAATTGATAACATTTATCTAAAAGGAAGCAAAATTTTTAATAAGAAATTAAAATAAATTTTAAAAAATTACCCCTGAGAAAATACCAGTTCCAGATACTAATCAGGGCTCTTTCACATCGACTAAACTTTCAAGATTATGTTCAGAGCACAAAAGATTTTTAATTTTAACTATTCTCTACCCATTTTCTGAAGATGGAGTCACTCCATTTTCAAGGTCTGAAAATTATAGAACAAATGAAAATCATAGATGAATATAGATGCAAAGATTCTATAAAACTCTACTAACAAATGGAATCTTGTAGGATAAGGTTTTCCAAAATTGCATTGTGCATCTATAAAACTACACTAATTTAGACCTGGAGTATGGGCATAAGAATAGAAATATATTAATGGAAAATAATTTTAAGAGCTCAGAAACAGCACATCAATCCTAACACCAGTTATACAACAGTTCATTCTTTCTATACTTGGTTGATGTGCCTTAATCCATATTATATACATATATAAGGTATTAATAATACAACATATGTATATGGTACATATGTAATATTTTACACCATATATTTTACATATATATGTATATATATTTGCATTTATAATTTTTACATCAAAGCATATTCAACAGGCAAAGTGTAAATGTCTTTAATCTAAAAATAGATATTAACAATTACTGAGAAAAAAACAAGTATCCCAGTTATAAAAAAAAATTGAAAAAGGATAATAAGCAATTTAAAGAAGAAGAAATTCAAATGCCAGTAGATATTTTTAAAAGTCCAATTTTAGGTGGTAATACAAGAAATACAAGTTAAAACAATCAGATATAATACCTATTTTCTAACAATCTGTCAACGTTTTTCAAAAAGAACAGTAGCCAGTGTTGTGTTAGTTTGGGGGGGGGAAGGCAAAAAAAAAAAAAAAAGAATTGACAAATTTCCTGGAGATTGTCTAGACAGTGCTATATATGCTCTGAATGTTTGTATCCCACCAAAATTCACATGTTGGAATCCTAATGCTCAATGTGATGGTGTTAGAAGTTGAGGCCTTTGGGAGGTGATTAAGTTATGAGAGTGGAGCCCTCATGAATGAGATTAGTGCCCTTATAAAAGAGGCCTGACAGAGCTCCCCAGCTCCTTCTGCCATGAGAGGGTATAATTTGAGGTCTACAACTGGGACAAAAGCCCTCCATCTGACAATTTCTGGCACACTGTTCTGGAACTTCCAGCCTCCAGAACTATGAGAAATAAATGTTTGTTGTTTCTAAGCCACCTTCTCTGTGATATTTTTGTTACAGCAGCCTGAATGGACCAAGACAGCCAAAGTAGGTCAAAGGCCTTCACATTGACCCCAAAATTTTACTTAATGTTTGAAATGTGAACATTTATATACTTACTAATGTTATTTTTCTTTTATTTATATATTTATTATTTTAGCAAAAAAACAAATTAAAAAATCTTACAAATTATGCTTGTCCTTCCAACTAGAAGGAAGCGAGCAGTTTGTTGTGTAAAGGGCTGGGTTCTATATTACTTTCCTTATGAAGAATCCAAGACCTAGTTTTGGTGTCAGTTTGTCTCATCACATTTGTAAGGTGCGACATACCTGCAAATAGCGGACCACTTGGCAAACGAGATCAGGTGCCAGAAAGTCTTCAGTGAATCGCCAAATGATGTCTGTCAAGATGTTAATCAGACCTGTGAAAGAGTCTAACAAAAACACACAAGTGGTTAATTTTAGTATCTTTTAAATTTCCAGGCTTGCCACAGTAGAAATGAATTCCTGGGGAGATTTTTTTTTTTCCCTGATTTATCAGGTGACCATTAAGGAAAAGTAAGCCAAGGCAGGAGTCCATTGACTTTTATTATTGGAGCTTCTTACCACTCAGATAGAGCCACCTTGGAAGGATTTCGGTAATGACTAAAATGATTTTGGTAATCATACAGTTGACATTTTAAGTCACAGAAGAGGAATTTTAAGGGGGTTTAGATCCCTATCCAAACAAGGATTGTGTGAAGATCAATAAGGGCAAAATTGAGAAAAGAAAAATATTTATCTTCAAGAAAACCCTCAAAATTCCCCTTTTTGTATCATTATTTTAAAATGTGGACCTCTTATTACCTCTCTACCATCAACAACTTCCCTCCACCCCCACCCCAGTTTCCTTTTCTTTCTTCTTTCCCCTTTCAACATCTGTCCCTGGAAAAAGTCAAGTGCATGATCTATCAGTTTAATCAACTTAGTTGGTTAAACTACAGAGGAACTGAGGCCAAGATTCGAGACCAAGATCAGAGACTTTATGCTCCTGTGGTTATCTTTACTCATTTCTATAGTTACAGATTGTACGTTGTGCAGATGTCTACATCAGAAATGGTAAAATATACTATATGCCTTGAAACTCCCTCTCACCCTTCCATGACTGATATCACTAATTGATCATATGATTCAGAATCTTTCTCAAAACAGTGCTGGAGAGATTCTCTGCCGATTGTTGGATAGGGCTGGGACTTAAAACAGGAAATATAAGAATTCATTGACTTAGGGTCACTTTCTTAGAACATGGGCTATAACACTCTGTCAAGGACCCAAGAGACAAGGCAAACTCATTGATAGGGTGGCTCTTAGAAGTCTGGAGGAAGTGTTGGTCCTTCCTAGGCAAGGAAATGGCTGAGTTGCCCTGACAGACGGTGGAAAAAAGGAATAAAAAGGCCAAAGGAAGTGGGCATGTTTTAATGGATATATTATGTGAAGCCAGAGGACCCACCAGGGAATTATATTCCATGGAGGGCTCAGAAGACACATCATTCATGAAGAATATCCTGGTGAGAGGAACACCAGCATGACAAAGATGCTCATGGTGGCTTCCTACTGTAAGCCAGAGTGGATGGTAGGAGAGGTGGTCATAGAGCCAGGTCTTGTAGAACTGTAGTAAGTATACACTGTAATAGTTCTCCTAGTCCTTCCCCAAAGGGACCTATGGTCATTTATTTGAGTGACAGTACACTGGGGAAAGAAGAATATACAGACATTTTGAGGACTATTAGACACAGGGTCTATGTTGACATGATACTTGGCTACCTGAAATGTCATTATGGCCCCACTACAAGAGTGGAATCTTATGGGACCAGGTAACAAATAGAATTCTAGTTGAAGTAGAATGGTTCGCTAGATCTGCAGACCTTTCATTGTTCATTTCCCCAGTCCCTGGGTATTTAATTTGTATTGACATACTCGGCAGTTGGAATAACTCCATATTGGGCTCCTCATAATAGTGGCAGACAGTAAGACTACTCATTTGGACAACATGATGAATTACCCGTTATCATGGTCAATCTAGCTATTGTTGTATTTGACTGTCTTGGAATTACCAACAATGGAGACCAACACTGAGCCCCAATATAACCTATTTCTTAAGACCAATTTGCTACCTTATGAAAAGTTGACTGCATTCGGTCCTTCAATACTGCAAAGCCCAGCTGTCCATCTTCCCAGTGTATACCTATTTTGGGTATGAACTTGCCTTCCCTGACCTCTGAGTTGTAGTCAACACCATTCACCAATCTCTAGAGGATTTCTGATTGCTCAACTGGAATGGAATGCCACACAACATATTATCTGATCAGGGGACCCACGTCCTAGTGAAGGGGATATAGGCTTGAACCACTGATCGTAGAATCCTCTGTTTATATCACATAGTGTACCATCCAGCAGCCGCTGTCTTCTTGGAGCACTGGGATGGACTACTAAAGGCACAGATAAGGGGCCAACTTAATGGCACTCTGAAAGGATGGAATGCCATCCTTCAAAATGCTGCATATGCATAAAATCAGAGCTTCCTTTATGGTGCTGTGTTCACTAATAGGAGGTAGACATACATCTGAGAACCAAGGGGTAGAGACAGGAATGGCCTCACTAAACATCACTTCCAAAGGAGCCCTGGGACACTTTGTGCACCTCTCTGCTCTGCAGGCTGGAGGGCCTGGTTCCAAAAGGAAGTACAAACCTGCCAAGGGACATAGCAAGGGTCCCTTTGAGCTAAAAGTGATGACTGCCACAAGGACTCCTTTGTCCAGGGACTAGCAGTCGAGAAGAGAAGTCACCACTGTGGCCAAAGTCAGTGGCTGTGATCAGCAGATGGTGGTAGAGCTGGGTTTATACAATGAAGAAAGAGAAGAGTATGGGTAGAAGACAGGCAATTTACTTCTCAAGTTATGATTGACGGCAGTAATGAGTGAATGGGGCTAGGGATGCTGGGCATACTGCAGCAGACCCTCAATGAAGAATTGTGCAGATTATTCAGGCTCTCGGGTGCCCTGTCCTTCTGTGGTGGGAGGGTGATAGGGGCTGAAACTGAGTCTTTATTCTTGTCATGAAGACGTGCACCCTGGCTTCAGGCTGCACAAAGACAAGGCAAGTGGCAACTCTGTCCTGGATGACATATGAACTGTACCCTCTAATAAATTGTTCAGATCAAAATTCGAATCCTGCCTTTGTCGAGAAACTGCTAGCTGTTATGGGAGAGGATTCTATTTCCGTGCAACTCTACTCAGAGGAGTGGGCAGAACTTCAGTCAGAAGTAAAGGGTTATGTGTTTGGTTGGATTCAGGCTCTCAGAAAGCTGAAGAGCTAAACAACAAAAGAAACTTCAGTTTTGGAGTAGGCCACTCGCAATTCCATTTCCAATAGTTTATTTTTATTGCTGTGTTTCTGTTAAAGAGAAGTAAGAAGTAATGAAAACTGAAAATGACACTGTCACTTGGTTAATTACTTCTGTGGACCCTGGAGAATGAGAAGAGAAAGGAGGCCAGCATCCCGAGCAGGTAGGGCATATATAGGTGCTCAAAGCATATTTATCAAATAAATTGTCACTAAGGTTTGGAAAAGGCATTTATGGCTTTGTAAAAATTAAACTTTTATTTAGAGATAATTAAAGACTCACGAGAAGTTGCAGAAATAGCATAGAGTTTTCATGTACCAGTCACCCAGCTTTCCTTCTGACATGGTGACATCTTACATAACTAGAGTTGACTTTGTTGTTCAAAGGACAATTATTACTCTTAATCCAGGTTTCTGTACAACTGAGCTGGTCTTAAGGAATGTTACTAAGCAGTCATTATATCCTTGTTAATATCTTAAGTATTTAAAGTATCTTAAGATTTTTTAATCTAACCAAAAACTATGAGGTAATTTCCCCGTTTTATAGATGGGTACCTAAGTGTGATTAGAATCTTTTCTAAGATCTTATAACAAGTTAGAGGTAAAGGCAGGCTTTTAACCCAGACTTGGATGTCCGTGTCCACAGTCTTCACCGCAGTACCTGTGTGTTTTTCTTTCCTTTTCTTTTCTCCCTTTCTAATTCTTGTTCTTTCTGTTCTCGTATATTCTGCAGACCAATATATAGGCATGATTCTTCCTCCCATCCCCCTCATTCCTTTTCCTGGCTGCCCTGATTCTTCTCTTGCCCCCCTCTATTTATAGGACCACTCCATCCATAGAATTTGCCTTTATTCCTTCAGATAACTGTGATGGTAAGTCTTCCTCTTCTGGATCTTCACTATAAACAGGATAAGCTTCCAGCTTAGCATAAAGACCTTCCACAATCTAACCTTGCCTACCTCTTGCCAGATACCCACGTGGCATTTTTATATTGAAGACCACGGTGATCATACATTCGTGTTTTCAGATATGCATTCCCTCTTCTTGAAATTGCCTCACTCCAGGTATCAGTCTGTTCAATTCTTATTTACCTTTGAATATCTAGCTGACATGTCCCCTTTTCCAGGAGCTTCCCTTGACCATTCACACAGTAGAGGCTACAACTAAAGGTATTTGGCCCTCCCACTCTTGTGCCCATCTGTCTCTTCCTTTTTGTGTTTCTGTAGATAACAATTAGACCACTGGCAAGCACATGGGCACTACAACAAAAATGTCAGAGATTAGGGAAATCTTGTAGCAGTCTTGGGGAGTCAGAGAAGTGCTGAGGAGGTCAGATTTGAGCAGGGTCTTCGGAATTTTGAGTTGGGACCTGAAATCTCAGGAAGCATTTCTTGGCAGGAATCGACTGGAGGGATGAGTGGAATGGACATTGGAGTTCCTTGGATCTTCTTTTTTGTTGTACTTATTCTTTAACTAAAGAATAATGGGGAAAATCCTTAAACTTATGTTTCTCAAATCTAAGTGATTATATTAACAATTATAATGTACTCCAGTAAAATTTCTTTTTTCCCCTGGAGCTCCGTCTGAAATAAGCCCAGATCTGGGAGTAGACTATCAATGGAACTGGGCCCCAGAGTTTGTGGCTATTAAGCAAATACCGCTCTATCTGATCAGTAAAAAGCTATTTAGTTACCTAAGTAATTGAATACATTGCAAATAAACCTTTCTTAAATGGTAATTAACAGGACCTTGGGAACAAAGGGTACACTTTAAAGGCTTAATCACTTCCATGCTATTACTCCTGCTTCTTAGAATTTCTTCAGTGAGAGATCCTAGGAAGCTGCAATACTCAGAAAAACCAAAACAGGCTCACCACAGGCTTCATTGCTCCTTTGATGGTCTCTAAGAAACCTGAGTGTCGGTTCCCAGTTGGAGCATGGATATGGGTGGAGTGCGGAGAAGTCAAGAACGAGGGGACACCTGAGCTGAACCTTAAAGGGTCCGTGAGGATGGGTCGGGGAAAAGCAGGTGAAAGACACTGATTCTAGGCAGA